CATCGCCTCTATACGGCTCCGAAAGGGAAGATCAATGCGCCTCATTTTCTATGGCATGAGATTCGCCTCGCTTCGTTTCAGCACAAGCGGGCCTTTCCTCATGCTCCCTTTCTTCAGGCTTTCATCGAGAGTGTGGCTTCGTTTCCTATTGCTCGCACTCATTTGCATGAGCGATGGGTCATTCCCACACACATGGCCGATAACTATGTTCCCAAGGACTCTTCCTCTTCTGCTCATCCGTGCCGCACTGCTGCTAGCATCCCTCGTTCTGCTCCCTCTGGATCTGCACCCTTTGGTCGCATTGCTCGCTTTCCGGGGAAGGCCCACTCTGCCTTGATGAAGGTTGTTTCGTTTACCTGCTCCCAAAATCACGCTGTTGTCACGCGCCTTATCACCTCCAAGAATGCTCTGAAGACTCGTCTGAGAGACTCCGGAGTGTTCGATGTGAGTGATGATGACCGTTTTCCTGATGAGCCACCTTCTGATTTTGGTTTTCCCTCGGGTCCTGAGTGGGCTGACTTCTTTGACGAGGCTGGTGGCAGTGGTGCACATGATGATGATGATGATGATGCTCTCTGATGTTGTTATGCACCCCTTTTGGGTATTTGATGCCAAGGGGGAGTAGGCACTATGCATACTATGATATTAGCTTGTTAGCTTGTAATCGAACTCATTGCTATGTTATTGATTAGCTTGTATCGAACTCATGTTATGAGATTGTAGAAACTTATGTTCTATGCTATGAGTGATGAACCTATATGGAGCTTATTGTCTTGATTATCTTGTGTATGAGATTTGGTTGTGTTGGTATCATATTGAGGGGGAGCTCTCTTCATGTTTATTCTCTATGGTATCATATTGAGGGGGAGCTCTCTCCTTGCTTATTCTTTGTTTATTGAGCTCCACAACAAATCCTTTCGATTTTTATTTTTATGTGTGTGCATATATGTTGTCATCAACTACCAAAAAGGGGGAGATTGAAAGTGCAATCATGCCCTTAATCATATTTTGATGTTGATGACAACATGTATGTTGGGACTAATCATGTTTATCAAGTATATCTCAGGATTATGTCTCGAAGGCCGTGTGTGGATCATGACTAGGGACAAATGCATATAACTCAAGATTGGAGATACAAGACATTAGCCTTGGCTTTGTTTACGGTTTGTTCTTGAGTATAGGGATCCCGCACTATTAAGAGGGGATCGTTGGAACTAGTGAAAGATTTGCTCACCACACTCCAGTTTTTCTCTCCGGTCGTCCGGTACTCTACAGACGTCCGATCCCTCTCAGTTGTCCGGACGTCCGACTCTCTATGGTCATCCGGTGTTTCACCAACAGAATGTTATTCACGGATTTCCGGACCTCTCCGGACGATCGGCACGTCTCGGACGTCCGGTATTTCCACCACAGAACCATATTTATGGATTTTCGGGCCTCTCCGGACGTCCGGGCTCCGGATGACCGACACGTCTCGGACGTCCGTGTGATGTGTACAGATTCGTGGCTTATGTGTTCCCAGCGGCCGGACAACCGATAACTGTCGGACGTCCGGACATATTTGTGCCACCGGACGTCTGGTTTTGTCCGGACGTTCGACCCCTTCTGTGCACTTAAGTGGCTCAAATGGTCACTTTTTCCACACCCACTATATATAGGCTTCTCCCTTCCACGGGATGAAGTTGACCATTCACTTTGAGCTTGCCAAGAACACTTTTCACTCTCTCTCTCTCAATCCCCTACACCAAATCCTAGATTTCCAAGGGATTTAGGAACATTTGAGAGAAGTTCTCCAATCAAGTGATAGATCCACTCCTTCCCCTTCTTTGCACCGAAGGAATTTGTGATTTGAGGAAGTCTTGAGCTTTTCCCCAACGTTCTTATTACTCTTGGATGTTGGAGACTCCTAGGCGGTAGGAGTCTTTCGGAGAGGAATCAACCTTTGTGATTACCCCCGGAAAAGTTTGTGAGGGTTTGGAGACCACCCCAAGGTTTACCACTAGTGGTTGAGAAACGCCTCGGTGGTGTTGTCTCAAAGGGAGAATAGGGTGAGCCTTCGTTGCGTTGGTGTGCCTTCGTGGTAACATCCACCTCTCTAACGGTGACTAGCTTCCCTCCAAGGAAGTGAACATCGGCATACATCCTCGTCTCCCGAGTTGTGGTTATTCCTAACCCTAACTTTCTACTTGTGGTTACTTGTCTCTTAGCACTTACTTATATCATATTGTGCTTGCTTACTTACATGCTCGTGTTACTTGCTTAGTACTTAGTACTCACTCGCAATTGTTAGGCTCGCCTTCATATTCCGCACTATTGCCTAAAATTGCTAAGTAATAACTAAAATGTGTAATTGTACCTATTCACCCCCCTCTAGGTCCATCTCGATCCTTTCAGTGGCCCACACCTGAAAATGTCACTCAACTAAGAAGTTTCTTGGGCCTCACTGGTTACTATAGAAGATTCATACAAAACTATGGGTTTGTTTGCAAACCCCTGTTTAAATCTTTGAAGAAGGACAATTTCAAGTGTGCAAATGAGCAAATGGAAGCTTTCAACACATTGAAACACAAAATGACCCAAGCCCTTGTCCTTGCCCTCCTTGATTTTGCTTGGTGTCACATCAGTATGGAATATGTAGAAGGGCTACCTACTTCTGGCAATAAAGACTTGATATTGGTAGTGGTGGACAGATTCACCAAATACATCCATTTCATTGCTATGAAACACCCAATCGATGCCCAATCGGTTTCTAAGGCCTTAACTGACAGTATCTTCAAATTACATGGCTTCCTTCAGTCATTGTCACCGACAGAGATATAATTTTCACCAGCCATCTCTGGCAGGAGCTATTTAAAGAGCTGGGCATCAAGTTGCACATGAGCACTTCTTACCATCCATAATCTGATGGCCAGAGGGAAAGAGTGAATCAATGCTTGGAAAACTATCTAAGATGCATGGCCTTCTTGCAACCCAAGAAATGGATGAACTGGTTATCTCTTGCTGAATGGTGGTATAATACCAATTACCATACATCACTGAAGATAACCCCTTCCAAGCTTTATACAATAGACCACCTAACATGCTTTATGAAGCAACCCTATACCCTGCTGAACAAGTGGAGAATTTCCCTTTTGTCCTTACTGCAGAGCAAACAACAACCCAAATTAAAGAGAACCTGCTCAAAGCTCAAGCCAGAATGAAACATCATGCAGACAAAAATAGGTGAGAGAGAACTCTGCAAGTGGGTGATATGGTCTACCTCAAGCCCCAACCTTAGAGGCATACTACTTTGAGTGTTCAAAGATTCCTAAAACTGCATTCTAGATACTATGGGCCCTTCAGAGTACTTCCGAAAATTGGAAATGTCTCTTACAGGCTCTTGCTCCCTGGCGACTGCAAATTACACCCCACTTTCCATGTCAGTCAATTGAAGAAACATTTGGGTCCTCAAGCAATCCCTAATCAAAAGCCCCCTCTTCTCAATGCTGATGGTATCATTCTTCTGGAACCGGAGAAATTGCTCGAAAGAAAAGTCATTCCTCGAACAGAAGGAGATATACGAATCCTTGTGGTATGATGGCTCGTCAAATGGAGTAACATGAAGGAAGAAGATGCCACATGGGAAGATGCAACCTTCATACAGAAAGTTTTTCCTGATTTCACCAACACTGAGGACAGGTCCGGTGTCGATGAGGGGGAGTTGTCAGGACCCGAGTAACAACCTGCTGAAGGACATAGCACATGCGACAAGATTCAGTTAAGTTTTGAATTCAAGTCAGTGGCGCGAAGCTCAGGAAGACGTCCATCTGCGATCCGACGCTACACAAGGTCGTTGGGTTATGAAGCCCTGGGTCGCGTCCATTCCGCATCGAACGGCTGCGGATGGCTCACATGGAGTTGTTCACCTTTCCGGCAAGAACTAGAGTGCCGCCTGTTCTTTTATACTTTCTTCCAACTTGTAAGGCTATAAAGCCAGGACTCCAGCTCGACGGAGAACCATATTCTTATTTTAGGGTTTCCCCCTTACCGCCGCTAGTGTTCCTGGCTGGCTTAGGTTCCTCTACGACGAGTTAGAATGCACAGATCTTTCCTCTGAAAGTGAATGAAATCGTCAAGTTCAGTCTTAAATCTCTGAATCTAGTTCTTCAGACCACTCTGGGTCTGACAGTGCTTACGTGACAAGATATCGCTATGAGTTTAATATATTGTCCTATATTTATAATTTATTCATGAATTAAATTAGTCAATCAAAAAAATGCTAATTCACCCAACAAGGCTTTGGCCGTGCAAACCGGGTTAACAGAATTGTTGGGATTCTGTCGAGGTCCCATCTGCGTGGAGTCTGACTGTGCAAGGTTATCTTCTTGCTGGATCCCAAGAGGCAGGATAATTCAGGCCTATACCAGTCATGGCTGACGTGGAAGACGTGCTGGGCAATTTCCAGGAGGTCTCCCATTGAGGCGATTTTAGAAGAGAGGCAGGATTGCGCTGGCCCATAAGCTAGCGCAAGGTTGGAACGGGGATTTTGTGCTGATTGCCGATGTTCAGCCTCATCTGATCTGAGGCTTCTTCTTTTATGGACTTTTTCCTCTCTCTAAAAAATCTATAAAAATAATTAAAGTTACACATGTTTTTCAAAAAGAGAGAGAGAGAGAGAGAGAGAGAAGGAAAAGCGAGACAGGGTGACGTAAAAATAGGACAGGAGACCTGTCCGGAACGAAAAGGCGATGCGGCAAAGCGAATATCCCGGAGGATAAACCCGGGAGCCCGAGCGGCACCCTGGAATATTCTCGCTCCGGCATCACATTCAACTCCGGCGTCCATCCGTCCGTCCATATAAACTCCTTTCCCCGCCCGTTGCAACTCGCCAGCCAGCCAGCCATCGAACCCCCCTCCTTCTCTCCTCGCCGAATCCACCCCGGCGCTCGCTGTCCGAAATCCCCACCAATTCGGCACGCCGCACGTGTGCGTACGTATATAACACATCGGTCGACCGATCAATGGCCCTGCTCAAGGCCGCGCGCGTCGCCGACGTCCCCACCCTCGACGTCGTCGTGCCGGACCACCTCACCGCCGCCGCGCGGGTCCTCGGTACGCGCCGCTGTTCCTTTCGTCCCCGCGTCTCTACTTTTCGGTTGGTCATCAATCGGCCGGTAATAACGCGCGCGCGTGCGACCGCAGACGCGGAGTCGGTGGCGACGATGAAGAGGCAGCAGCGCGGCGCGGGCCGGCGGTTCGCGGTGATCGGGCACCGCGGCAAGGGGATGAACGCGCTGGCGTCGCCGGACCGGCGGCTGCAGGAGGTGAAGGAGAACTCGGTCCGGTCGTTCAACGAGGCGGCGCGCTTCGCCGTCGACTACGTCGAGTTCGACGTCCAGGTATGAAGAAGATCTCGATTCCGTCCCCTCCAATCGAATCCCTCCCACCTCCCCTGCGTGCTACGTTAATTAATTAATTTGTTAGGCCTCTGTTACGCACTTGCGCGGGTTCCGAGGAAAGGAACGGGTGTATGGGTTCGGTCTACGCGGGTCCCGGGCTTCCAGGAACTGGTGTAGCTCTCCTCGGTGTAGTGTGTCCGGTCTAGGGGATCTTTGTTGATGGCGACGTGGCCGTCCGGAGCGGCTCGAGCACGTTTTGCCGTGTCGCCGCTGGGGAAAGGGAAAGGGGAAGGTCGCCGCGTAACGAAGCGACCCCACGTGCGCCGCGGTGGCCTCCCATGTGGAGTAGTGGGGCGGCTCATCGAGCTCTCCAGATCTGACCAGCTCACCAGCACAAAATAATACTCCAGTACTCCTAAATAATTCACAAAAACTTGCACTAACACAGTTTAAAACCACAATAGCTTTTGATTTCCAGTTCACAATTTTGGTCACAAAATACAGCAGGGGTAAAGTGGACTTCTCATGTGGTATTTAACGGTGTTAGTTGTCAAAACTAGCAGAAGTGTCACAAAAGGAACAAAATGAAGTTTGAGTGTCAAAAAGGGAAGAATTTTTTTTAGGGCCAAAAAGGGAACCAAATTTTAAGAGAGCGCCAAATAAGGAATTCTCTCCATGTGGAGTAGTGGGGCGGCTCATCGAGCTCTCCAGATCTGACCAGCTCACCAGCACAAAATAATACTCCAGTACTCCTAAATAATTCACAAAAACTTGTACTAACACAGTTTAAAACCACAATAGTTTTGCTAAAGCATCTAACATGTCCCCTAAGAGCAACTCGGATAGCTCCAGTATCCCTGCGAACACTTCCATTTACGGGAAGTTAGAGTAAAAAAAGCCTGCGCAATATTTTTTACGGGATTCTGTAAAAACACCTCCTCCATCCTCCTAGTTTATTGGTAGATGATCTTTTCATATAACTAGGCTGCCCGTAATGGTATTATCATAGGTAGTATCATGCATGCCAACTAAGCAATTTTGATGAGATGACATAGAATTAAATGAAGAAAGAGATGTTTGAGTATCATATCATGATACCGTATCATATTAAATGATGTGCTACTTTGTGTCATGCATGGCAATAAATGTAGTACTCTATGATACCAACATATGATACTTTGTATTACGGATGTAGTATCATACACTAGTATCATATGCATGATACTAGTATATGATACTCTCCATTACAACCAGCCTTATGTCCGTGGATAACCGCCTGAAATTTCATAGACGCCGGCCACCATGGACACACGTTGTCACTGACTTGCGGCCCCAACGCCTTTTTGAATGAAAAATGCAAATTTATACTTCCTCCGTTCCAAAATAAGTGTCTTGAGCTTAGTATAAATTTGTACTAGAGCTAGTACAAAGTTGAGACACTTATTTTGAGATGGGGAAGTATTTTATGGGCAGAAGTTTTACGGGAACTGAAAAAAGTAGGTGTTAGAAAACTTTTCCTAAATTATACAGTCATCCTATAAGAAGATTTTTATGGGAGCTCTTGGAGTGGCTCTAATATTGCAAATCCTGTATCAATAATTTTTTGCGAAGATTTGTGTGGATATTCTTTTTTTTTCTTTTTATGTTTGACCGAGTCTAATGTGTAACTAGGGCAAATATAGATGTGTCTTAGCCTCTTAGGCAGACCCAAACCAATAGACGTAATTTGACAGATTAAAGATTTGGTCCTAGATTGGCTTGTTCGAAATGTCGTTATATTCTTGATGTATCCGATGTTGGTACGATATTACAGTGGACTGTGACGAGGCTGCATCAACGATGTCGTCTATTCAGGGTCGTTGCGATCGTACAACTTTTGTCGTACCTGAAGCAGCACTCATGCAAGATAGTACACTAGCTAGTTGTTCGTTTGTCCTGTTGCACTAGTGCGATCTAGTACATCTGATGACGCCAAACCCCACCTCCACCTTGTACTTATATCAAGATCAAATATCTTGCCTGTCCCATATATCTATCGTTTAGTCCATCGTTTTTTTTCTTCTTACAGTGCTATTGCGCAAAAACGCCAACTAAATGTTTCCATTCCTAATTTGCTTCAAAGCTAAATTTGTTCAAAGTGTTCAAAGAAGATACTGATTTTTTTCACTTCTGGCCCTTCTCTCTTTGTCTCCTAAATAAGTCAGTGTGCAAAGATGTTGAGAAGAGAACCATGAATATCAATTTTGTAGGTCACCAAGGACGTCTGCCCAATCATCTTCCATGACAACTTCATCATTACTGAGGAGCATGTAAGTTCATATGTGCACTCTTGCTTTGTATGCGTATCACTTTCCATCATTTCCTCTTCCCCGGTGAGTGATTGTAGGGGCTGTTTGGATGGGCCCACCAATTATTTGGCTAACGATTTTGCCATATGGGCTCGCCCAGATGTTGGCAATGAAACTGAATAGCTGGCCAAAAGGTTGGCGTACACCCGAAATTTCGGCAGCCATGCTGCTATCCGAACAGCCATGTAGAAACCGCCACAAAAAGCACATGCCAAACAGGCTACTACCTGACATGCTGCCAACTTTGATGTTTTCCTGTTTCCATATCACTTGTAAGCAACCAACCTAACTCACCTGAACTATCTGTTTTCAGGGCAAAATTTCAGAGAAGCGTGTCACTGATCTTCAGTTGGAAGATTTCCTCCAGTATGGCCCACAAAACAAGCAAGGCAAGGTATGGAGAAAGTGCAAAACACCAGTGTGCTCATTTGGTCATTAGTAGTGGTTACATAAAGTTTGACATAATGCATCTGATTATTCATTGCTTATTGCTAAATTCAGAATGGGAAGCCTTTGCTGCGGAAAATGAAGGACGGCCGGGTGTTGAATTGGAGCGTTCAGTCAGATGATCCTCTTTGCACCCTTCAAGAAGCATTCGAGAAGGTCAATCCAAGATTGGGCTTCAATGTCGAGCTGAAATTTGATGACAATCTTGTGTACCAAGATGAGGAGCTCACTCACATCCTCCAGGCCATCCTCAAGGCATGTACTATTACTGCAGTACATGAGTCACTTTCGGTTGGTTACAGCTTGATACCTGTTGTTCTAACACATCAGATTTTCAACTTGTGAACAGGTGGTCTTCGAGTGTGCCAAGGATAGGCCTATCATTTTCTCTAGCTTCCAGCCCGATGCTGCGCAGCTCATGCGAAAACTACAGAGCACATACCCTGTAAGTGCAATATTATTACCGGACAGAGCAAGCACATGGAACTTGTATCCATTACACACCATGAGCGTCACTGATCGCCATCGTTATGATGTTTGTCAGGTGTACTTCTTGACGAACGGAGGGACAGAAGTCTACGCCGACGTGAGGAGGAACTCGTTGGAGGAGGCGGTCAAGCTGTGCCTTGCCACTGGCATGCAAGGGATCGTGTCCGAGGCCCGCGCGGTCTTCAGGTTCCCGACTGCCATACCAAAGATCAAGGAGGCTGACCTCTCCCTACTAACTTACGGGACACTCAAGTAGGTTCTCTAGTTCTTCATCAACGTCTCTGGAATGACGGCCTAGTTGAGCTGGGGTTTATCTGAATTTGAATGCTAAAAATGTTTCTGACGCCGTTGTGGAAATGTGCAGTAACGTGCCGGAGGCGGTGTACATGCAGCACCTGATGGGGGTGAACGGGGTCATCGTCGACCTCGTGCCGGAGATCACGGGGGCCGTCTCGGACCTCATCGCTGTCCCGGAGATCGACACGGAGATCAATGATCTGAGCAGCCAAGCTGTGAAAGATGCCGCGTCGACGCCAAATTTCACGCAGCGGGAGATTTCATTCCTACTGAGGCTGATGCCGGAGCTTGTGCAATAACACAGACTGCACCCCGTTGATGGCTTTGGATGTAACTGACTGATTGGCATACAGGAAGAGGAGCCCCTTGTGGAGGGAAGTACAAGTATACGTACTGGGTTGGTGTGATCTCCTTCGGTGAGCCCTGGTCCTAGGAGAATTTGGGATTGTTTTATACATGTTGTAGCGAGGGGGCATTGATTTATACATGTAGTAGCGAGGGTGGTGATTTTTCTGGATATACAGTGAATGTCATCGTCACAATGGCGGTGTTATTACTACGCTAGTACTCCCTCATATTGGATGTAGGTCATCTCCAACACCCTTCCCATTAAATCCCCCCTTCCGGTCCCATTTTCTTTCATTCCGTCCTTTATCATCCGCACCCTCCTCTGACACCGTTGCTGTACCTCTTTGGTCGGCATACTGGCATCGTCGGACCTCCGCAACCAGTACACTCTGTCCCCATGTGTGGACGCCACACGCAATAGGTGTTCAGTCAAATGCCATTGAGCTTATTTTCGAACACCACACGCAATAGGTGTTCAGTCAAATGCCATTGAGCTTATTTTCGAACACCACGTCTTTTTTAGTATGAGAATGATGGCGGGGTACTCGACCATGCATGATGAGTTGTGCGATGCGTGGTAGGTTGTATCCATGAATTTCGTAGGTAGGAGTGGATGGGGGACCTTCTAGCAGCAAGTGCATGAATTTCATGCACAAAAAGCGCGTTGCGCCCTACCACATGCATATCATACAAAAAGTGCATGAATTTCATGTAAGGTCGTTATCTTATAGATGGTACGCCATCCAGATCTCCGTCACCAAGTTTTCTGGCGCGGTTGATATGGTGGAGGCAAGGTGACCATTACGCACGGCAAAGGAGGAGATCGTAAGTTTTGCTTCTTGCTCAAGTTGTTGATTGATTCATTCATTCGATGTTGTTATTCATTGTGTAGCCTGAACGCGTTGTCGTGATGCACCACAGGATAGAGGGACATTTATTTATGCGCATGCATTGTTGGATGAAGCTGAAGGTCCAGTATGTATGGGATGATAGGATCTGTGCATGAAAAACTTATTGAACATCCGGTTAATCTCGTTGAATTTGAACTATTATTGTGCTAGACTTATTTACATGCTATCTATGGATGATTTGTGCTATGCTCTATTTGAACTTTGATGAAATCTGTCATTTTTGCGTGAATTTTGTCCGGTTAGTTGCAAATTTGGGCGATGCTACGCGTTGGCCGACAGATCTTTTTAAAGGATCTGTCGCCATCACGGTCGTTTGATCTGACGCCATCCAATGGCCCGACCCTTTCCGCACAACTGCAACAAATACAGTACTGCAGGACCCTTTGCAACAGATCTCATGTTGCAGAAACATTTGCAATAGAGGTTCTGTAGCAGATTTTTTTGTCTTACTTTTCACAACATGGGTATTGTTGCGGAACGGCTTCTGCAACACAAATGATGTTGTGGATTTTTTTTGTCTTAACTTTTTTGCAACATTGATGTTGTTGTAGAAGGACTTCTGCAACACAAATGATGTTGCGAAAAAACTGGTAAGGCAGCATAGGCACGCGTTCAGTGGTGGAGATCCTGGTTGGCCAACATGGAAAGGAGGAGAGGAGGCCGAGGGAGGGAGGGAGGAAGGAGCCACGGGGCGTTGGAGGTCCCAGCAACGGCGAGCGGCTGGGCTGGACGCATTATGTGTTGGGGATCATAGTAACAATTCAAAAAAAATCCTACGTGTCACCAAGATCAATCTAGGAGATGCTAGCAACGAGAGAGAGGGTGTGCATCTTCATACCCTTGAAGATCGCTAAGCGGAAGCGTTACAAGAATGTGGTTAATGGAGTCGTACTCGCGGCGATTCAAATCGCGGAAGATCCGATCCAAGCGCCGAAGGGGCGACGCCTCCGCGTTCAACACACGTACAACCCGGTGACGTCTCCTCCTTCTTGATCCAGCAAGGGGGAAGGAGAAATTGAGGGAGAACTCCGACATCACAAAGGCGTGGTGGTGGTGGAGCTCGTGGTTCTCCGGCAGGGCTTCGCCAAGCACTACAGAGGAGGAGGAGGTGTAGGAGGTGGAAGGGCTGCGCTAGGGGAAGGGGTGCGGCTGCCCTCCCACCCCCTCTATTTATAGGGCGAAGGGGAGAGGGGGCCGTCCCCCCTAGATGCATCTAGAGGGGGGCGGCGGCCAAGGGGGGAGCTTGCCCCCCCAAGTTGGTGGGAGGCGCCCCCACCCCCTAGGATTTCCGACCTAGGAGCCTTGGGCCCTTGGGAGGCGCCCACTAGGGGGCTGGTTCCCACCCATATTCAGCCCACTTTGCCCCCTGGGGTAGGTGGCCCCACCCAGTGGACCCCCGGACACCTTTCGGTGGTCCCGGTACAATACGGATAATCCCCGGAACCTTTCCGGCGACTGAAACTGGACTTCCCATATATAAATCTTCACCTCCGAACCATTCCGGAACTCCTCATGATGTCCAAGATCTCATCCGGGACTCCGAACAACTTTCGGTAACCACATATAATTTCCCATTACAACACTAGCGTCACCGAACCTTAAGTGTGTAGACCCTACGGGTTCGGGAACCATGCAGACATGACCGAGACAGCTCTCCGTCCAATAACCAATAGAGGGATCTGGATACCCATATTGGCTCCCACATGTTCCATGATGATCTCATCAGATGAACCACGATGTCGGGGATTCGATCAATCCCGTATACAATTCCCTTTGTCCATTGATATGTTACTTGCCCGAGATTCGATCGTCGGTATCCCCGTACCTCATTCAATCTCGTTACCGGCAAGTCTCTTTACTCTTCTATAACGCATGATCCCATGGCTAACTCCTTAGTCACATTGAGCTCATTATGATGATGCATTACCGAGTGGGCCAAGAGATACCTCTCCATCATACGGAGTGGCAAATCCCAGTCTCGATTCGTGCCAACCCAACAGACAATTTCGGAGATACATGTGGTGCACCTTTATGGTCACACAGTTACATTGTGACGTTTGATACACCCAAAGCATTCCTACGGTATCCGGTAGTTGCACAATCTCATGGTCTAAGGAAAGATACTTGACATTAGAAAAGCACTAGCAAACGAACTACACGATCTTGTGCTATGCTTAAGATTGGGTCTTGTCCATCACATCATTCTCCTAATGATGTGATCTCGTTATCAATGACATCCAATGTCCATGGTCAGGAAACCATAACCATCTATTGATCAACGAGCTAGTCAACTAGAGGCTCACTAGGGACATGTTGTGAAGGTTGCCCGTCTATTGCGCGAAGAGGAGATCAAATACTACCAGAGGTCCAAAGCTGACTTCATCCTAATGGGAGATAGTAATACAAAATACTTCCAATTGGTCGCCAATGGTCGACATAGGAAGAAATGTATTCATAGTCTCCAACAGGATGAGGGGCGGATCGAAGGTCAGGAGGAGCTCAAAAGGTATATCACCAGCTACTACAAATCTCTTTTTGGGGCGCCAGATGAAGGGAATGTCACCCTTGACGAGGCCCGAATAGATGATATTTCACAAGTCACGGTGGAAGAGAACAATATCCTCACGGCACCTTTCTCGAAAGAGGAGGTGAGAGCGGCAGTGTTCCAAATGGAACACAACAAAGCTCCAGGCCCTGATGGTTTTCCCGTAGAATTTTATCAGAATTTCTGGGATGTCATTAAGGCTGACCTTCTGGAGTTGTTTAAGTGTCTTCATGCCGATCAACTTGACCTATTTAGGCTAAATTTTGGTGAGATTGTTTTGTTGCCGAAAATTAAGGAGGCCGAACGGATCCAACAGTTCAGACCCATATGCCTCCTTAATGTCAGCTTCAAGATTTTCACCAAAGTAGCTACGAATAGGTTAAACTCAATAGCCGACCATGTTGTTCGGCCATCTCAAATGGCCTTCATGCAAGGAAGGAATATACTAGATGGTGTAGTTATCCTTCATGAGACCGTCCACGAGATGCACCGGAAAAACATGAGTGGAGTGGTATTCAAAATTGACTTTGAAAAAGCCTATGACAAGGTCAAGTGGTCTTTTCTCCAACAGGCCCTAAGGATGAAAGGTTTCTCCGATAAATGGTGCAAGTGGATCCAAAATTTTGTAACTGGAGGTAGTGTGGCCATCAAAGTCAATGATGATGTAGGTCATTACTTTCAGACAAAAAAAGGACTACGACAGGGTGACCCCATGTCCCCAATGTTATTTAACATTGTTGCTGACACGTTGGCTATTCTGATTGAGCGTGCTAAGCAGGATGGACAGATTGCGGGAGTAGTGCCACACCTTGTGGATGGTGGCCTCTCTATTTTGCAATATGCCGATGACACGATTCTTTTTATGGAACATGACCTAGACAAAGCTCGAAATCTGAAGCTATTGCTTTCAGCGTTTGAGAAAATGTCGGGCCTCAAAATTAACTTTCATAAAAGTGAATTGTTCTGCTTTGGAGAAGTCGTGAGGCGGCAGCCGATTATGTTGACCTGTTTGGTTGCGCACTTGGCCAATTCCCGATTAAATATCTGGGAATACCGGTACATTATCGGCGTCTCACCATTGCGGAGTGGAAGCATGTGGAGGAGCATCTAGAGAAACGGTTGAGCAGTTGGAAAGGAAAACTACTCTCAGTTGGTGGTCGGCTGGTTTTGATCAACTCCGTCCTCACAAATATGGTTCTCTATATGCTTTCTTTCTTCCAACTCCCAAAAGGGGTCCTGCAAAGACTGGACTACTTTAGATCCAGATTCTTTTGGCAAGGAGATGGTGAAAAGAAAAAATACAGGCTGGCCAAATGGAGCGTGGTTTGTAGGCCTAAAGACCAAGGTGGCCTTGGAATTCATGACCTGCAGGTCAAGAATGAGGCCCTTCTCAGTAAATGGTTATTTAAACTTCTTACTGAGGATGGTGTTTGGCAAACCATGTTGCGCAACAAGTATCTAGGCCAAAAGGCGGTATCCCAGGCATATTGGAAAC